CCTGGACAAGGTCCTGTGCAGCCTGCTGTAGGTGACCCTGCTTTGGCAGGGGGGTTGGACTAGATGACCCACAGAGGTCCCTTCTAACCCCGAACATTCTGTGATTCTGTGATTAGAGCACTTAGCATTTAAGACTCTTCTTGGAAGTTCAGGTTTCTCTATATTTGCATATATATAGATATTTGTCCATATTTGTCAATGCTCAATACCTACTGTGGGGTTTGTTTTAGCTTTCTCTTTTATTTATTTTTTTTTCTCTATGGAAATGCTATTGCCATTGACAATGAGACATAACATGCAGCTTTCCAGCACAGACAGGCTGGTACCTTGGTGTTTCTGCCAATACTGCTGTAGGCTAAGAAGCTTAGGTAAAAATATCACAAAGTTGTAGTACAAAACAAGGCTCAGTATTTTGTAAGTCCTCTGCCACTAGACAGAGAATAGCTATGGCAAATGTAAAAGAGAACGGTAGCTTTTTGCTACAGTTGCAAAAATTGGCTCCCTGCCCTTACTGCTGATTATATTTGCACACAAGCAACAATTAAAAATAGATAAACCAAATTTTTTATATGGAGGAGATTTGTAACATTATTTATCTTAAATACAGGTTTTATTTATTTCGAGTCAAGAAAAGAATAACTTCACAGATTTATTGGTTATATTCTGTTTTCACATGCTTAAACTGGCAATAGATGGTTTAATTTGGAAGGATGGGCAAACAGCTGTGTAACTTGACTTCTTCCCTCCTTACTGTGCCACTTGTTTCCTTCCATCCCTGCTCCTTTATTTACTTGCTTTATTCTTGATTTTTAAGGACTTGCTCCTGAGGCCAATAAATTAGTAAGCAGCTTGCAAACGATGCCAATGATGCATGATGAGGCATATGCCCGGGAAACCAAACTGAACAACTTCCACGGATTTCCAGATAACACATTGGTGCTCCCGTAAGTACATTTTGCTTGGGGAGTGGGAGGGTTAGGAATTATCTTGTGAATTTTCAGATAATTACATACCCAAGCATTTAGTGTGAAGAAGCCATTATGAGATTAGCAAAAATGCTTATATTGACTTAAAAGGAAAAAGCCTACTGTATCTGGTATGATAGAAGCTGTCTGGTTTGATGTATTTGTAATGAAGTGTCTTACAACAGCTTGAGAAACAACTTTTAAATTAGGCAACAAGTAACCATTCTGGGCAGCTTAATCCTGCATTTTTTTTCTTGTTTTGGATATTAATTTGCTACTGTGCAAACATACAAATATTCTATAGAAGCTAAGGAAACTGTATATACAGCTCTGTGTGAATTATCTTCAGCACATGTCTGGAAAAAGTAGCATCTAATTAATGCATCCATGAATAGGCCTCATGCTTTAATTCTGCAGGCTGCCGCTTTTTAAAGAAACCTAGAAGCTGATTGTCTTTCCCAAATTTATGCAACATTATGATAATAAGCAGTGGTCTTATAATTAATCTGCATCGCTTCTTAACAGTTGGGCAATGATTAATAAGCTTATAGGTTTTATTTAGAGGGCAGTATGCTAATTTGAGATATTCCCCAGCTGTGATGAATGACTGTGCCCCTGTAAACATGTTAACTTTGCACAAAAGATGATTTTACACATTCATTCAAAAATAAATGGGACTATGAATGTTTTGCTATAAGAGTAAAAGTGGATATTCTTTAATCTTTAAGGAAAGAATCAGGACATACAAAGTGAATGTAAGGTTTACCAATTTCTTTCGATTTTGTATGGAGGTCTCTGTGTAAAGCTTTTAAAAGTAACCACTTACAAAGTAGATGGCAGGAAAAGGGGTAAAGGGAAAAGAAATGGCCTCCTGGTGAAATAGTGTTGATGTGAACATACAGTTTGTGTTAAATGATGGTTATGCTGAGAAGGATAGAGTTCTGTTACGATGTTGTGCTTGTAATGCAAAAATTTTAAAATACTTTAAGGGATTTGAAATATAACAAAACTACACTAATATACCCATCTGAGTCCTAAATATGCTTCTCCATGAAGAACAGGAAACCTTAAAACAATCGTTCGGATCAAAAACGGAGGTTTAAAAACCAATCTTGTCTTGTTTTTCTGGCACTGCTGAGTGCTGTTTCTGGAGGTTAGTCATGGCAATTTGCCATTTTCTCTTTTGTGCTAGCCGAGTGGTATTTTAACTAGGCAGTTGAGAAGTATTGTGAGTTTCTCAGGGGAGAAAATAGGAGTATTTTGTGAATTTGTGTATCTGTATAACAACCTGATATAAGAGGAACAACATGATCTCTTTTTAGAGAGAGGCATCAAAAGTTGTAGACTAGGCTGGTCTCTGGCGTTGGTATGTCATGTTTTCTGTAAACAGCACATCCGCAGGGGAGCTTTCTTTTCACAGATTTTCAGCTGACTTCCAAAGTTACTCTTAGCATGTGTAAATGCGATATCCAACAAGGCAATTTTTCATGTGAAGTCTAACTTCTTGGGTACAGTATGTCAGTTGGTTAGGAATGAAAACTGCACATCGTTTGAAAGCTCTCTCTGCTGTACACAGCTGTCTTACAGGCTTCCTAAGGGGAGCAGGTCTGCAGATGTTGTTAGCTGATGAACTGATAATTGACTCTTGATTTTGTGTATTTTATGTTGCTGTAAATATATACGAGAATAGCAAGTGGGAACAAAACACTACTGTGAATGCTGACGGAAGGTAATCAACTTTTCTGAGCTCTAAGCACGTTATTTCAGGAAATTTTATGCACCCATACAGTATCCTGGTCTTTTCTATAACCTTGGACCATCTTCCAGTGTAAATGTTGAAGCATCTATCACAGTTACAGCTGGTAGGGAGCTTCCCATCATCCTCAGGCAGTGGAAAAACATTGAGAACACTCTGAAGATGATCCTGTCAAACATGCTCCCGGATGGCTCTGCCTGGAAGAGCAAGTCGGAAGGGCGGAGCTGGCATGCTAGCAGTTCTTCTTTGTTAGCTGCTTGTTGGCCACTGCATTGCTAAATAGGAACTTATTCCAACGAACCTAAGAATGGGTGAAAATGGTGGGTGTTCTATCCTCTTCCAAGCTTCAGAAAGGTAGCAGAAAGTAATAGTAGTAGGGTTCTTTTTTTACCCCAAATCATAACTAGCCAAGTGGATTTTATATGCAGTTGACTTTACTCTGAGGAGTTAGAAAGTTAGTGTGGAGAAGTGGGCACATTTTGTGGGGCAGAACACATGCTCTGTATGCAGTCCATTTGGCTGGCAAATCAAAGGTCTTTGAAGAGTCAGATTTCTTGAGACAGGCAGGTAGAGAAAGGGAGTCCCGTGGTCCTGGAAAGCAGGGAGATCAGACAGCATGCTTAGGGCTGGGACAATCCCACTGTGATTCCATAGCCATCATTGGCTTAGAACGTCCCCTCCAAATTTGGAATCATCTTTTGTAAGACGTTTGAGTGCCCAGACACTTCTTAATCTTTGGTCTCCATCTGCCAGGCTACACACTGCGTGATGTTTGAAAGCGTTAGGTTCCTCGGCCCCACAGGTACTTTATCCTATTGCTTGACTGTTCATTTTTGTTTGGGGTTTTTTTCCCCTTGCATAGTTGCTTTGTCTTGTTTTTATTGTACTTAGAGCAGTCTTTTCCCAGATGTCAAGGTTGCACTTGTTCAGTGGCCAATAACTGATCACTGGCGAGTTGTTTGTAGTCCTGGGGCCTCTGTTTTCACCCTGTGCCGGTACTTTTAAGATCTTTGGTATTATCCCATGTTTAAACTCCACGTCATAACAAGAGACCGCTGGTACCATATAGCCAACTTTCGTAACTAGCTGACAGCAGACCGAATAGGCTTGGACTAGGGTTTTAAGGAGTTAGCCTATTACTAGCAAAGGCAACAGTTTACTCGAAGATCTTAAGTAACCAAGAGAGTTTTTTTCTGAAATCTGGGGTCAGAGAAACTGAGAAGAGTGGATCCTTTTAAAGACCTCAAAAATGAAGCCCAGTCATAAGACTCTTAAAAGAAGATACCTTTTCTGTCAGGGAAGAGTATCCATATATAGGAGATCTATTTATGTTTATCAGTGGGTTAAAAAGTTGGTGCAGCTCTTCTGTTGAGCCCCTATAAACCTTGGGAGCTTTATAGATTTTGTTCAATAGCTTACGAAACATTTTTAAACCTTAAGACTTGGTATTGACTTTTGTTAGAACTCAGTTCCCAACTTAAACATGGTAAGTCTGGTTCTTCTTTTCTGTGTTTAGTTTTGCCAGCCCTTCTCCACCTCCCAAATTATATTTATTATTAAATTAAATTTAGGGATTTGTGCTTTAAACCACATCAAGCCATGAACTTCTAAACTTGGAATTTAATGTTTAAATTTAAGGCCATTTTTTTTTTGCCATAGAATCATAGAATTGTTTAGGTTTGAGGAGACTGTCAAGATCATCGAGTCCAACCAGTAAGCTAACATTGTCAATTCCACCACTAAACCATGTCCCTAAGCTCCACATCTGTACGTCTTTTAAATACCTCCAAGGATGGTGCCTCAACCACTTCCCTGGGCAGCCTGTTCCAATGCTTTACAAATCTTTCAGTGAAGAATTTTTTTCTAATATCCAATCTAAACCTCCCCTGGCACAACTTGAGGCCATTTTCCCTTGTCCTATTGCCTGTTACTTGGGAGAAGAGACCAACACCCACCTTGCTACAACCTCCTTTCAGGTATTGGTAGAGAGGGGTGAGGTCTCCTCTCAGCCTCCTCTTCTCCAGGCTAAACAACCCCAGCTCTCTCAGCCAGTCCTCGTAAGACTTGTGCTCTAGACCCTTCACTAGCTTCATTCCCCTTCTTGGGACATGTTCCAGCACCTCAGTGTCTTTCATGTAGTGAAGGGCCCAGAACTGAACACAATATTTGAGGTGCACCCTCACCAGTGCCGACTACAGGGGCACAATCCCCTCCCTACTCCTGCTGGCCACACCGTTCCTGATACAAGCCAGGATATTGCTGGCCACCTGGGCACACTGCCAGCCATCCACCAACACCCCCAGGTCCTTTTCCACCAGGCAGCTCTCCAGCCACTCCTCCCCATGCCTGTAGCGTTGCATGGGGTGGTTGTGACCGAAGTGCAGGACCCGACATTTGGCCTTGTTGAACCTCATACAGTTGGCCTCAGCCCATCAATGCAGCCTGTCCAGACCCCTCTGCAGAGCCTTTCTACCCTCAAGCAGATGGACACTCCTGCCCAGTTTGGTGTCATCTGCAAATTTACTGAGGGTGCATTCAGGTGAAAACTACTGATTGAGTGGAAAAATCAGAAGTGATGAGCTGGTATTAGCTCTAAGATTTTTTTGTTTCCAATTCTCTTTCTTTGTAGTGTCTCTAAGCAGAACAAAAGAATTTTCTACACAATCTTGGAGCTCTCACCACTGCTTGATTCTTCCAACATGACGCCAGACGACTGGGCCAAAATTGCAAACAAACTTGAGGTACTGTGGTGTGGGATAAGATTTCATTCGTTGCTTAAGCAAAAAGAGCATTATATCTAGGATACTTAGCAAGATAAAACATTTCAGTAGTGCTATATGTATATATTATTTTATTTAAAATGCAAATATTATATACCTTGTTTAGTTACTTGCAAGAAACTGTGCTTGCAAGGCTTGCCAAATTTTCCTTTTCCTTTTGAAAATGTTGCAAACTCGTTAGAGTTAAATAGTTCTTCCAGTGATAAGCCATGTCATAATTCTGTACAAGAAAGCAAATAGAAAAATTGCAGCTATAGTTGAAGAAGGTATATAATATATAGGTTGATATATTCTAAAATGTTGCCTTAAATTCATTGTCCAAAAATGTTGAATAAAAACCTTAGGTGTGGATGACTTAACTGAAGGTTGCTTGGTTACACATCATTTCAGTGTTCAAATAGCTTAATAGTTGGCTATTGATATAGAAAATAATTACATATCTTTAGGCCTTTCTTACTCTGGACACAGACTGACTTCATTAGCTGTGACTTTGCAGCTGGTAGAAAAATGCTGTCATGGTTAGCTTTCCCACACTGGGAAATGTTTAAAGCCTTAGATATTTCTGCATGTATAGATAAATTGATTACATCCTTCTCTAGATTGAAAATCAGCATTTCTCTGCTCCTGTCCACGTGTCTGAACTTAGCTGTGTGCTTTTAAGAAACTAGAAATGTGAAACATTGAAAATACTTCACAGCAGGAGTTCATACATAGCTGTTGGAAATAAATAACCATGGGCCTAGTAAGGTACTGCTCTCCCACACCTACTCACTGTGCGATAGTGAGCTTTATAGTGCAAATATCCATCTTTGACTGAGCTGTACCAATACACACAAACAGCACAATAATGCTGGGAATGCTGCTGAAGATCACATAACGGTCTTTCTTGATCCTGAAACCAGCAAACTAGAGATGATGGTCCTCCCAGGAAATGCATCTTGCCAGGGCAGAGAAGAGGCCATGCTGGTGTGTAGGTGAAGAGCCTCTGGGATGGAGCAGGGCTGCAGCTGGGAGAAGCCCAGGGCCAAGAGCTGAAGTCAATCGCATGCTGAACAGGAGAGAATTTACCTTTCTTTCTTAATGGCATATTAGTTTTTTGACAAAAAGAAAGCATTTCTTTCTTGTACACGGACTGCAGCTTCTCTGTATGTACAAGTATGCAGTTCGCGTAATCCAAGTGAAAAGTGCTGAGAAGGGAAAAAAACCCAACCCTTCTTCAACTGTCGGGATGATGTATAGACACTGCCACTTTGTGTTCATCTTGGACACATACCTGGCATAGCTGTAACATGCTGATGACTTTCCAGACTGAAAGATTCTAAGATGTTTCTGTGGGATTTGTTCTTAATTGCCAGCCTGATCTTTTATGTTATGAAGCTTAAACCAAGCTACATCCTTTCTCATCCAGTAAGGTTCATAAAGCTGAAAATAGTTGTGAGCGTACTCATTGAGGACAAGCGGCTATTTCTGTGGTCTTCTTGAAACTTAGTTACCTTGGTGGATAACTACAGCATGCTTTTTGCATCACGCTATAGTTTGGCATACAGAAAGATCTTGCAACACTGGGTGTTGTTCTGCTGGCTAACTTGCTAGAGATAGATAAGCAGAAATCCCCTGAAACTTCCAGTAGGTAGCAACACGTAGGCACAAGTATCAGTGAAAAAATAGCGAAAGGACAAGTAGAAATCTGCAGATGAGTTTGCAGGTGACCTTGTTCTCAGGAGATGCCAAGCGTCTGTGCCTACTGTAGCATAAGAAGTGTAATTAAAAAGAAATTCTATGGCAAGCCTCATTTTTTTCCCCTTGCTGGCACTTCAGAGTCTGCTTAGAGTTCTATGTAATCTTTTCCACAGAACCAAATTACCTCAGAGACATCAGTGTCTCTCACTACAGTGTTCACTATGTGCATCCCTCTCAAAATAGAGGCACCAATTCCATTTCCTCCACAAGCCAGCAGATGACTTTATTCCAACAGGACGAGCTGTGCGATTGATGGCTTTGCCTTAAAAATCCTCCTGCGTGGAAATGTGTGTAGATTAAAGGTATTCTAAAATTCCTTTTTGCGTCTGTGTGTGCCTGATAGTCCAAGGGACTTCTCAAAAATCAGCAAGTGTGTATCCATTAGTGAACAGCAAGAAGGCTCCTCACCTCTCTGCTGCAGAAGTCCCCACTGCCGCAGAGCTGATGGTTTTTGGACAGGAGAGGGCACTCTCAGCCTGGCCATTTGCCTCTGCCACGCGCAGTCGATGGACGGGGTTTTCTGTAGGTCACCATAGCCTTGGTTGGCCTAATCTGTTCCTGTAAATGGTATAATCCCTCAAGTGAAAGCGGCGACAAGAAATCAGACTATGCGACTAATTTGCATATGTTAACGTTCCTCTTTAAAGCCACTGCTAAGCTTTTCTTAATTAGCAGTCTTCTGGTTTAAAAATGCTGCATTAATATGTATACGTAGAAGAATCTCTTTGACTGTTCCGTAATTAGAATTACTGGCTCTAGTGCTTAGTGTCATATTAACCCTTAATAGTGTTTAAACTGAAAACAGGATAAATTTAGGCGGAATTATGCATGTAGTGCCCTTTAAAGTATTACGCTGTTGCTTGCATCAATGAAAGCAATGCAATATGTACCTCACTTGCTGATGCCAGTGCATTGCCCTAACAATCTGAAAACTGTCTCTCTGTCTCCAGGAGCACTATGAAAAGTATGATGGTTTTGTGATCCTTCACGGCACTGATACGATGGCCTATACAGCTTCAGCTTTATCCTTCATGTGTGAGAACCTGGGTAAAACTGTCGTTCTGACAGGATCTCAGGTAATGGACTTAATTTGAAGTCAGAAGCTTCATTTTCTATTTTCATATGCAAAACTAGATAATATCCTGATTATCACTGTATAGTTTAGTAGTGCAGGGTGGGCCTCTGGCCAGGGTGAATGGTCACAGTGCTGACAGAAATTAGTGAGAATTGACAGCCTCACCAGCTGAAGATCTGCCCCATAATTTTATCATTAATGACTTTACAACTCTGTACCAAATCAGGCCAGTAGTTCATTATGGCTGGGGCCAGATGCTTCAGAGAAAGATATAAGAGCCTGTCACTGGCCATTGTGTATTAATCGGTTTATAAGAGAAGCATCTTCCCAGCCTCAGGTGGCTGCTGGTTGTTAGCTATCTTTTTTTCTTTTAAAGCTCTGGAGCTTATTACTTTTTACTGCATCAGTTGCTGTCCCATTTTAAGTTACTCATTGCTGCATTCTTTATCATTTTTTTAATAATCTCTAAGCATTAGATGCATTTTTGATCATTTCTGTTCCACAAAGAATCTAAGATGGTCTGTTTCCTTTCCTCTAAAGACTGCATTTATTAATTTTCATTCTCTTAGCTGCAGATCAGCCCTTTGCATAATGTCTCGGGGGAGGGTATCTCTTACTAGAATAGCTTACTTAGGTGTAAAATACAGCTCTAAGCACAAAAGAGAGATGAAACATCGCACTGTAAAATTCCCCTCCCCCATCTCACAACTTCCCTTCCAAATGTCGTCTATTTGAAGTCAAATTATGAAAGTCTAGGAAGGAGTGGGCTCCCCCTTACTGTCTTGACATGGGGCAGTCTGTTCCAGGTTTTACTTTCTTTTTGATTTTATTCCTTGGAGATCTGCCTGATGTGATCTAGCAATGGAGCATGTGATTCTTTTTTTCACTGCTGAAAGGAGCTCTGACACTCTGTTACCAAAGAGGCAATCTGAAAAGGCATGGAAGTCATCACTCAGCAGACCAAATTTCTGTTTTTAATCTTGTCCTTTTCTGTCGGTAATAGCCTGCTGGCTCAGGTTTTCTATACTGTGAGGAAAGATGGTGCAAGAGAGCTGTTGTGAAGCATAGTGGCAGTTCTGTATGATCTGGCGCTGTGGCTTTTTCTCTGTACAATCACTTCTCCTGTGCTCAGTCACATTAATTGTGGCAGCTTTCTATTTTTCAAATTTTTCCTGAATCAGTCTTTTAGTCTGCTTAATCACACTAGAATCATCTCTGTATTAGCTTTTAAGCACTTAAATTATAAAAGTCTGTTAGACACAGAGGGAAACCCTGCCATCTACTGCAGTCTAAAACAGTTTGGATGAAGAAGGAAACTTTATTTGTCATAAATCATTGCTACATAAATTATTCATGTATTTTTATTGCATAAGTTGGACTCTCTTTTCTGCTGTGTAGGCTTTACGTATGGGACAGGATGTAATTTCAGTCTCTGCTCTTCAGGTGCCCATATACGAGTTGCAGAATGATGGCCGAGCCAACCTTCTGGGGGCACTGCTCATTGCTGGGCAGTTCGTGATTCCTGAGGTCTGTTTGCCTGTGGAGATGGTCTCAGAAGCTGCTTTTCTCCCTCTAGCCAGGACACATGCTTACATACTCAAAATATCTGGTAGGCAGTAAGGAATTGCACGTAAACGGGAAGATAAATGGATTCCGCTGAGGTAACAAGCACTTGCATGGCAAAGCACATGCCGTTTTCTCAGGAGTCATATCCCATTTTGCCCATATACAATCTACACAGACTATAAAGTCTGAATTGTAGCTTGCAGCAGACTTGAAATCAGAGGTTCCCTGTCAAATATGTGGGATCTGAAACACTTGTAAGTCAGCTTTTTAACTGAAAATTACTTTGAAGTTCTGTAGTTTCTCTAGAGCTGGTAGATGTGTCTTCTAGCTCTAGTTCCTGAAGACTGAAGTGTCGAGGATGATATACCTGACGGACAGGGAAGTAACCCCATGGTCTCACCACCCTGCCTTTAAAGATGTGGGTGCTGTGCAGCCCAAAAATCAGAGAGAAAGCTGGTCAGGTTACACTTTGTTTCACTTGTGCCGTGCTCTCAAAGCTAAGACAACAGCAATAGCTGACTGGCCAAGATCTTCATAACCAATAACAACTTTGAGGTATCTCTTTTCCTTCAAATTCCAGTTGACAAACTTTAAGGGACTTGAGAAGGAACCTAATTATTTATGTGCAGTAACTCTTTTGAAAGTTATCCTCATTTTCATGAGGCCTGAACCTGTTAAGGTTTTGGACTCTGAATTCAGATATAACTGATGAACTTACTAAAAAGTCCACACTGTTCTTTCCTCTATCTCTGAACTGGACTCAGGCAAATTTTTGTCTCCTAGATTATGCTTCATGAGAGGATTATGAAACTAGTTAGCTCTTAACTTCTTTTGTTCTGAAATTCTTAAATCAATGTGTGACAGATGTGCCAACTCTTTTTGAAAGGGTAAGCGTTGTAAACATCTACTAGCCTCTGAGTTGCATTAAAGATTTAGAAAACACCTTATAAAGGACGGACTACAGTATTTATCTACTGAATCTTTTAATTACTAGCTTATTCATAGACCTGTTTCTTTACTTGTCTTGCAGGTGTGCCTGTATTTTTATAATAAACTGTACAGGGGAAATAGGGTGACTAAGGTGGATGCTGCGAGTTTCAATGCTTTTTCCTCACCTAACCTGCCTCCACTTGCAAATGCTGAGGTTGATATTACAAGTAAGCAACATCATCTCTTAAGCGTTGTAATTTATGCCACATGCAATAGAACTCTAGCTGAAAAGAATCTGTGTCTATGCCATTGAAATGCTGTTTTTAAACTCAAGTATCTTTGAAAGCCCTGTAGCTTGACTCCGCTTTATCTGCTCTGAAACTGTTTAAATATTAGTAGAACTGAGAATTTGTGACTCAACTGTATTTATCTTTTGAATACAGATGTAAGCTAGACTGACTTTGACTAAAGATCCAGACTAACCAGAGGGAATGTTGTCCCTGTATCATGAAAATGCTTGCTCTGAATATAAAAATGAGGGAGTGAAGACTGAAAGAACAAAGGGTTTAATCTCAGTAATGACCATGCTGGGCTCCAAAATCAGGCAAAAGAGTCATTGCAGAGTAGTTGCAGCTTCAACAGATTCTGTTTGATGCATGTTATCGTGTAAGGTGTTTTGCTGCATGTTTAGGACCTGTCTAAACTGCAAGCACACTGAAAACAGCAGACCTAGAATACATGCTGTGTGAAGTTTTTTTCCCCCAAACTTACCCAGGCTCACTATACTTTCTGTGTGTCTGTTTTTTAAGGAGAGGAAGAACTACATGAAGATTTCAATACACTTGTGCGAAGTCATTAACACATTGATGTCTGTTCTTGGATAAATGGCACCCTTTCTCTGGAGAGGGGAGAAGAGCCTCTCCAAGAGCCTTGGAATCTAGCCAAATGAGGGTTGCCAAAACCATGCTACAGGATGGTTTTAAAAAATACAACGTTATGCGAGCTGCTTTTGGATAGGCTAGGTATGTTAGAAAGGAGTAGGACTTAGTGGCATTCTCCATTACTACAAAAAAACAGGGATAGGAGGGGGTTTCCGAATTCTTCTACCAGGTGCTGTTAGTGTCAGTCTGAGATCTAGCCCTGCACCATGCAGCGTGCCATTCTGAATGGTTTCTACTACTAGAGAGAGACATTCTGCAGTTTGGAAAAAGAAACTTATCCCATCCACCTGATGAGTGGGAGTAACTTCACAAAGTTTTGAGGTCACAGTGCTGTGTTTGTAGCAGCCAGATACAAATGGAGGAAGCCTGTGAAATACTGTAGTGGTCCGTAAGACATCTCTCAGGTAGAGAGTCTGCCACTGTTGTATTACTGTGCTGTGTCAAATACGGTGTATCTGAAGTCAACAGAAATGCTGTCAGTTGATTGTTGCAGTGAACTGGGGAGAATCTTCTTTCTTGGATTTTTATGAACTGCATCAAATAGGGTGTAAATTAATTCCGTTTACTGACTGATCAATAGTGAAATCAAGCTGCAAATTGCATGCTATTTCTCTCTTGGATTTGAATGAACTGTTTTCTGATTCCTTATCTGCAGTAGAAAAATGAGAAAGTTATTAAGTACTTCCCTTGGCCCCTATTGGGTCCCATTATCTTTTCAGTAGAATGCCCCATTGAGATCAGTGATCTAAAAACTGATGGTGTGGTAGACTCTACTTTTATTTGTTTCAGTTGATTACCCAGTTAGGCTAGCATCATTTATCCACGATGATGGTGTCAGTGTTGAAGGATTGTTTCATTTTAAAAAAAACATAGTTTATAGTATGAGCAATCTACTAGTGCTGCTTTATTTTGTCCAAAGTAATTGTTTGAAACATCGCTGTCTCCCTTGAGTTTGCTTCTACAGTCCTTGTATGAAGCTTTCATGGAGACAACGAACCACCTGGGCTTTTAAAAACAAATGTAGCATCTTTTAACATTTTTTTTTTTTCAAACAACTTTATATAATATGTCTTAATCCTCCTGTAGACAGGCTGACTCTTGCTGCTTCAGCATTATGGAGAGCAGCCTGACGATAACAGGAGGAATAGGCCATGTGCAGAAACTCTTCCTCCGGCTTCTCGGTTCTAACAAAGCTGGGAATGAGAATTCCAGAAAAGCAGAAGGGTAGAAGTGTCAGGATGGAGGGAGTGGGGAGTGTAATGAGGTCATGGGTTGGTACACAGGAATGAGGAGAGGACATGCTGTTCGAGGCTAGGCAGACCACATAAAAGCAACGATCTAATTCAGAGCCAGAGAGGAGAAGCTTAGTCCTCTTCCATCTCCTAGCCTTGCTGCAGCTCTCTTCTTCAGTTTTGATATCTATTTTTCACCTTGTTCCAGTGGATTTCTGATCCCATCAACTGGCTGTGTTCTTGGCCACATCCTTAACTGTGTTAGCAACACCCAAGAGTCCCGCTACCCAGTTTTAGATGAGCAAGCGTGTCAGCTTCCTGGAGACTTTCAGTTTAGCACAAGAAAATCCTGTAAGAACTGAAAAATTCTAGCCTGCTTCTGAGATGAGTAAGAAACACAATGCTGGTGGGAAATACTTTTGCAGCAGAATCAGAAATCTGTGCATGAAAAGACAATACAGAAATAACCAAAAATATTTCTGAAATCTTAGGACTTATCACCTTGCCTTGTTTCTCCCATATTTTGAAAACAGGAAAGACAAGGAGGACTGTTTCACTTGAAATGTGTAAAGAGACTCAGTATATTTCATAACTGATTACTCTCCTCTGTTCTCTATTGTCCTAATGAAGCAACTATGAAACTTGCTTTGTTACCATGGCTGGACTTTCTTCATCACATGTGTGTAACTTCTGAGAGTGGTGTACATGTACAGGACCGTATGATAAGAAACATGTGTAGGGGGTGAGCAGAGACCGTGTGACACTGGGTGCAGACGTGGTGCAGCAGCAGGTTAGAAGGCCCTTTTGGCTCGTCTACCCACCAGTCTCACTAGAGAGAAGCTATTTGTCACTGGCCAAGTCTGTGTCTTGCTTGGCAGTTCTGGTTATTTATAGTAAAAAGCCGAAGTCATTTATGTATTAAGGCAAATGCCAGCTCTCTTCACTGAAGTGCTTTTGGTCACCCCCCTCCCTTGTAAGCAGGCATGTAGATTCTTGCAACACCACCATTCAATTTAAATATTCATTTCAAAAGGTGTGTGTCAATTGTTTTATAACAAACTGCCAAAAAGGGGGGTCTGTGTTTGTTTGCCTCCTTCAGGAATTTGCACCCATAGGTTGGCCTGCGTTCCCCACCCCTTGGCTGCCGCCGTGAGTTGTGATGAACGCCGGGCCAGCTTATATAATGGTAGGGCTCGCCCGTGGCCCTGCAGAGAAGGATGAGAAGAAAGCGTTGCTGTTTGTCTGGAGCTCTGCAATCACAAAAAGCTGTATTTCTTGTTTGATTTCATAACTCGGAGTTCAGTCACCACTCCTAAGGGAGGTGTCGCTCTTAGTTGCTGCTCTCCCATTATAAGTTGAGACCTGCATTTGTGGCATAGGCGCTGTTTAAAAAAAGGGGGAGGGAGGTTGCTGCTTTCTAGACTATTTAGAGCTGCTTCTCTTTTTTATTTTATTTTTAAGTCAGGTTGATGTTTTTTCTGTGCTAACCCTATCACCATAGGGGGATGGGTGTGTGTGTGTGTAGGTGAATACAGCTGAATAAGAGGAGGATGTATTTTTTGAGCTGGAATTTTAAAAGCTATAGTGTTTGGGGGGGAGGGGGAGCTTGGAAATAGAGTATTGTTTATGTGATGGGTTTTTTTGAAGAATAAACACAAGGCCTTATTATGTTGAATGCAGTCTCCTTGAATAATGCAATCTTTTCTATCCCAAGCCGTTTTGGATACACTATATAAATAGCCATTACCTCTTTATTTTATGTACATTGCTTTAAAAACCTTCTTTCTACTGTGCAAGATTAGTAGCTAGCTTACATCTGTTCCTCAGCTTTGTATTCATATTTACATAATGCAGTACAGTATATCAGTTAAACTTCTTATGAGCACAGGGGCCATCCAAGTCAGAACAGGTTACTGTTTTCTGTGTTGTGCCAAAACTGAATATCCCTAATTAGTCGCTCTTATCCATAGGATAAAAAACTGTTATGAACACCGACATATACAGCTTTCTGTACTTCAACTGCTTGTATATGGGTTACTTAAGAACTGCTAGTGATTCCAAAATTGTGTGTGATTTTTTTTTTTTAATTTATTTCTTTAACAAAAAGAAGATTGCAGTGAGGTATGACTATAGGCTGCAAGACAGCTGGTTTAATCAGTACAATGAAGATGCTTGAACTTAGCTGTGTGACATAAATATTCTTCCTTTCTGTGGATGTAATCTATGAGATGGAGGATCCAAAGGGTGTGTTCTAATTTTTTTTTTTTTCCCTGCATGGCTCTTTGCCTCACTTACAACAGTTCTGAATAAATCTGGGATGAAGTCAGGCTTTTATGTGTATTTGTTTGTCTTTGGCTTTTGCATCGCACTTGCCTTTTGTTCTGCCTTTTAGACTAGTTTGTCTAATGGAAAACTGACATCTGTGGAGTCTGCAGCACGAAGCGCGTTATCTAGACTGATGAGGTTCATGACCAAGAGAATGTTAACTCAGGGACAATCTTTAGTTCTTTTTTTTAATGTAGTTTGCAGTTATATCAGTGGACTATGTCTGCATGCATTACATTTTATCTTGAAGGCGATATGTTATTTGGTAGAGCGTACTCCAAGAGTACAGGTATAGGCCTGGTGTAGGTCTGGCTTCTGAACCTATCCTCTGATCTCTCTCCTTGGTCTTCTACTTTTGGCAATGTCTTAGTGATCCATGCCAAGGCAGGTTTCCTCAGTTCATTCTTCAAGTTCGTTACAGGCATTAGGGATACTAACAGTTGCCAAACTGAGTAGTATGCATTTGTGAAGCCTTGGCAGGGACTCCTAGCTTACGGAGGATAAAGGAAAGAAAGCTCTGATACAATTTTATTGCCATCCCTTCCTATAGAGGAGGCTGCTTTTAAAGAATTAATCTATGTGTTAGAAGGTCGAAAGGACTGGATTTATTGCTAAACGCCGCTGCTTCTTAAAGCACAGTGCTCATGAGTGAACATAGTTAACCAGGCCTGTGAACCTCAAGCAGAACAAACACACAGCTTTCTGCACTCATCTGTGTATCTCCTGCCGGTCTCTAATGCGCTCTGGCAAGCTCGTGGAGGCCTCTGAGCACTGCTTCACTAACTACTAAATCCAACCAGGTGGTTTCAGAACCATGCTGGCCAGCTTAACACGAAGAAAGAAACTGTAGAAACAGTCTGTATTTCTATTCTCCCATTCCCAGGGCGTCAGGAGTCCACCCACTGAAGTGTGGCTTATTGGACAAACATGATGCCAAGCCAACTGCTTGTGACCTGGTTAACAACTTACGGTATTTTTTTAGAAAGAACAGGCAGAGAGAGGCTCTAGTTGCTGACAGGGCACCATGAGAGGAAGGGGAAGTTCTCAAGTCTTGTAAGTGACTGTTGTTTTCTGTCCTGACTTAATGGACTGTGTAGTTTTTGGTATCTCTGGTAATGGGACAATACAGTTGGCTTCAATGGAGGCTTTTAAATATACTGGGAATTTTGTTGCAAATGGCTGTCTGCTGATTGCAAGAGATTGCAACAGTAATTGGTGTGAGTAACTCTCCGCATGGCTGAAAGCAAGTCGGTATTATGCATGCAGATCTTTTATCTGTCTTGCTGCTTGGGAGTTTCTCCAAAATCTAAAAAGCTTAAATCATGATGGGGAAACAGGTAGCTTTATGGCATGGTCTACTTTCATTGAAGCATGACCCTCTGAGCTGTTGGCTGCTGTTTGTTAAACCTCTTCAGCTGCTTTGTAGGAGCCATCAGCGCTACCAGTGCTGCTCTCCTGCACTGAAGTAGTAAAATTTTGAAATCAATAATGCATGACTTGGTTTCTAATAATGCAACACAAACAAACTATTAGTTAAAACAGCTGGCTTCTGGCTCTAAATGTGTAATGGGAGTTAATTGAATCCTGCTATTTTATTTAATCATTAGTAACTACCTAATAAACTCTGGAGGTGATTAGCGGCAACAGTAACTGCATTTGTCATCTTTTATGTCTGGGAAGATGAAGGTCTGTTTTCTAAACATGAGCCCAGGCTGGTATCGGGCCAGCTACCTAACAATGAAGTTCAGGTCAGTGCGTGACAAGTAAATACCTCACCTGTGCTAGACCTGCCTGCCACTCTGTTGGTTGAAGCTTTCTGAGTACTCTGAACTGGGAGAGTTGGCACTGTCAGAATCACAGAATGGTAGGGGTTGGTAGGGTCTTGAATATCTCCAGAGAAGGAGAATCCACAACCTCCCTGGGCAGCCTGTTCCAGTGCTCCGTCACCCTCAGAGGGAAGAAGTTCTTCCTCATGTTCAGACGGAACTTCCCGTGCTTCAGTTTGTGCCCATTGCCCCTTATCCTGTCGCTGGGCACCACAAATAGGAGAGATGCTCCAGTCCCCTCATCATCCTTGTAGCCCTCCGCTGGACTCTCTCCAGCAGCTCCTCATCTTTCTTGAACTGGGAGTCCAGAACTGGACGCAGTACTCCAAATGGGGCCTTACCAGGGCAGAGTAGATGGGGAGGAGAACCTCCTTCGACCTGCTGGCCACACTCAATGTACCCCAGGATGCCATTGGCTTTCTTGGCAACTGGGGCACACTGCTGGCTCATGGTCAACCTGTCATCCACCAGCACACCCAGGTCGCTCTCCGCAGAGCTGCTCTCCATCAGGGCGTGTTCAACATCGTGAACCCATCGGTCTAGTACTCGGATGTTTTTCACAGCTATCAGACTTCTCGTTTGAAGAGTTTGTAGTAGAGGTAGACAGCTTTGTGTCTGATAGATTCTCCTGTTCACTGATGGACATTGAATAAAATATCCATTTTGGAAGTCTGCTATAAAATGCTATTTAATGGAAGTGTACATGTTAAATATCTCCTTGAAGAGCACTAACTTGGAAATATTGGTGAATAATACTGATATAACTCGGTATCTAGACTATTTTGGAATTACAGCTAAAATATAACACAGTTGATCCTGAACCAGATATGGCCTTGAAGACATATTTTGTGGTATCTAGTAAATAAGGTGTGTTAGATCAGCTGCTATGACTGTGGTTTCAAATGGGCCTTTACTTTGTCTTTTCAAAAATACATTGTCTTTCATGAATCCTCTACATAAGAAACAGGTTTAAAGACAGTGTTGCAAGTATGAAGTGCTACAAGTGTAATTAATATATGTCTTAGTGTTAAATTTACAAGGCCATTTCTCTTTAACAGTAAACTGGGAAACGGTGTGGAGAGCCAATACCAAAAAGAAATTTCGAGTTCACACCAATATGAACAGGAATGTTGGGCTTCTGCGAATCTTCCCAGGAATCACTGCTGCTGCTGTAAGTGTCACCACTTCATTTTGGAAGTGGGTGAAGTGATGCACAAATAAGTGATGCTCAAATACTTGATTAGTTAGCTGAAGCAAGGGAGAGCTGCATTGTTGTAGCAGTGGTTGCGGTTTTGGAGGGAATGGAGAAGATCTGTCGTCTTCTGATACGTTTTATCAGAGCATTTAAAGACTATTTTCATATGCCATAAACTATTGATAAAAGCTTTTCAGATATCTTTTGTCTAAACTGCTTGGGCTCTGAAATTTGATTTCTTATCAGGGCTCATAAATAGGTGAAGTGTGTTTTTCTAGGCAGGTGCAGGCTGCAGTGACCATGGAAATGCTCTCTTGCTGCATACTGAGGCATACTAATAGCAATCTTGTCAAAGAATACACAGTATGGTGGGTGGACGGGAATGTGACTATTTCTACAATTCATGCTTTTTTAAGGTTCGTTTGGTCTCACACTGATGGTTAACATGACCCTCAACATCCATAGAGCTTGAAATGAGAAGTGGGATTTTGTGCTGAAAATGAGAAGTGGGATTTTTTTGCCTTTAGAAATTACTTTGCAGAACTGTAGTTTTAGGTAGATTTGTCTTTAAATTTTTGTCTAATACTAGTTCCATTAAATTGACAGGTCTTTTGTGGCTGTTGCCATCTTAAATCAAATCCAGTAGTTTAAGCAGCACTCCTCAATTATATTACCATTCTTTTTAGGTGAATATGAACAGATGGAAAGGCAGAGGGGTGGTATATTTGCAATAAAACTCCAACTGCATAGTTAGCCTCATGGGGGCTTACAGTGTATTGCATTTAGTGTGTGTGATCAGCAAGGAAACATCTAGGTTGTTTAAAATACATCTTTCTAGGAAGAGGACTTTGCTGGGCTTTCTCTTACAGTGAGGCACAATAGCTACCTCATTAACAACTGTCCCGGAATGTATTAGTGCCTCCTTTTTTTTTTCCTGCCTTGAATTAAATCAATTGGATTTTGACTTAAAAAACTCCTGGCTTCATCAGAATGTTCCTTCCTGAAAGGTGAGACGTTCTCTCTTAGGCAGACATTTCTTAACAAAACTCTTTGCTAAAGTAACAAATCTGGGCAGGGGTGGGGGTTCTAATCTCAATTAATAATTCTACATTTATTTTATAAGTGTAAATCTACCTTTTCGTTCCACCATGGTGCAACAGTATAGCCTGTTAATGGCACTTGAACAATAGCATCCTTTTTCACACAGAGGTCATGACTGTAGAAAATAGTTTATTTTAAAATCTATCCCTCCAGGAATTTTAAAGGGAGTGAAAGAGTGAAATTCACATTTTTTTCAAGCTTATTCTACAGTCCAAGTTACTGCAAATGGGGAGCACAGAAGGGCACGAGAAGACTCTAAGGTGTGAGAGCCTGTAAGACTATAACAGGAATAGACCATTTTTAAAAACTCTGTGCCGTACATGAAAATCGTAATGTGACTTAAACACACCTTTTATCTCTCTTCCCTGTCTTATTTTTAAACAGGTAAAAGCATTTCTTCAGCCTCCAATTGAGGGCATTGTACTTGAAACTTATGGAAGTGGCAACGCCCCAAACAACAGAGAAGACTTGCTGGAAGAACTGAGGAAAGCAGCTGAACGACAAGTAGTGATTATAAACTGTACGCAGTGCTTACGAGGGTCTGTTAAAACGGTCTATGCAACAGGGCAGGTAAGGCTTGTGCAATGATTTCAGGCTCTACTGCTGTGTAAAAGAAACATCCCACTGATACGACCTGATTATATGCTTGTAGTAGTCCCAGTGTATAAAGCCAGATGTATTAAATTCTAAAGATATTGCTCATAAAATAACTATACCTGAAAAAACTTTAGCTGGAAGCATTTAAATATGTATCTGCAAACAAGATCCTATTACTCCTAGTCTGAATGGTTGAAACGATCAGCTCAAATCACGAATTAGTGATTGCTTGCTCCTGTCGTGTGCAGCACTCCAGGATACCTTGCATTAGATTGGCAGTATCTCTCCCAAAGGGATTGCACTGAGCTAGAAGCTAGCTTAGGTGTCAGACAATCAAATAAAGTAGTATTTGATAGGCTAGCAGTCGCTTAGCTACAATGTAAGGATATAGAGAAAGCCTGCAAATCCAACAATATTCCAAATACCAGTTTTTATTTGACTGGAAGCGCAGCTGAAATCAGTGAGATTGGAGAACAGTATGCAAGGAACTATCTGTCTCGCAGAATGGAAATCAGTTGTGTTTCACCCACGAAGGCTAGCTTAAAGCAGACGTTGTGTAGATACTGTTAATATTCAGGGCATTTTATACTGAGTTTCTTAATTGTGTATTAAGACATGACATCACTGGGACTAATAAAGCTCAAAGCCGTATGAGAGTACGTGTTGCATGTGGTAGCGTGAAGGAAGCTGGTTTAACTGGCCTGTATAAAAAGGCTAGCCATTAAATAGCCAGGAAGCAGTGCCAGAGGGTGACTCATCCGCCTGTTTTAGACACGTGGTTTTGTCGGGAGCAGCCACCCGTCTGGCAGAGGCAGTCTCTTCGTTGGCTGTAAGGCAAACCTAGATACTCCAGTCTGGTGCTGAAACCTCCCTCTTTTTTAACATTGGTTTTGACACAGCTTTGGATTATATTTGCTTCAAGAACACATAGTCTCTTTTGGGCAGAAAGAAAAGGACATTGTAAGAGTTTCTTTCCACCTCTTCAGTATCCAAACTCGGTATTTTCTGATATGGGCAGTCATTTGGGTGTTGGTAAAACCTTTGCATAACTTGATGGGGGTGTTTTGAGAAGTACTAACTTTTGCAAAGGTCTCGTGCTCTGTAGCAAATATGATAGAAATACGTGGATTATATAGAACAGTACACATGGAAAGAAGAAAGCAGTTAAGTCAATAAAAGACACCAAACTTATATTTGAAAAACAACATGAAACTGAAACCTAGCTTTTATGTGATCTTTTGTTTGAAGTGAACTACTGAAATGCATGGAAGGAAGAAAAAAACCTTGTCTATGCTCTGGTTAAAAGATTCTCCAAGTAGACACCTCTAAAATGGCTTTTTGCACTCTGATCCAGACTGTTGGTACACTGAATTGAAAGACTCTGCTCAGGTCTTGCTGAACCACCGTAAGGCTGTGTGGAAACGTGTTCACTTCTGGCTTCCACTTTTATATGGAGCAGGTGTTATGTTGCTTCAGCATCCACTGATGGAGGCTGTCCTGTTTTCTTGGCAACTTTTGAGGAGAACAAAGACAGAGCCAAGTCCCCCAAAATTACTTCGTGCTTGTTCTTTCATTGCCTTCTCCTTTTCATAAGGAACTGCTCAATGGAGGAAATGCTGGAAAGTTGCTGTAATGTTAACTTTACTTTGATTTTTCTTTAAATAAAATCTTTCATAGGTCTTTGCATATGGCTAGGCCATTTTTTACTCATTCAGGCTAGCCAGGTGGGTCAGCTGAGTCCCTGGTTTGCCTTGAAGTGTTTGTTTTAATTAACTGAATGGTTGGCCTCTGATCCCTTTGCACAGTAGAAACTTACAATTGAGGGGACTTTAGGTATAGGAAGGAAGCTGGGAAATCCCTTCCTCCTGCTCTTTCTCAAACCCGTGGAAAAAGCCGTAACTGTTCTTTGGCTAGCTCTGCAGTACAGAAAGTATTTCTCACCTTCTCTGTATGCGTTTTCTCATGTGACTTTTAAAAATCTTAGTCTGGGGCTCTCAGAGGTGGTTAATGAGCTGATTAAGGCTCTGTATCTTGCTAAAAATATTAGTTAAGCCACAAGAAGTTTCCAAGCTGAAGGTTATATACAGGGTATTTAAAAGTAGAATGCAGTGTAAAGAACCTATTTCAAGATGCTTAACTGTGAGGCATCACATTATGGCAAAGATGATGATCTGTAGTTTAGAGAAGCCCGAGTGTTTGCCCAGGTACAGCTGAGTGACAAGAGATCTGAAATCTTCGTCTTTGCTGTCTTGCTCACTGTACGCTTATGAGGCTTGCTGACAACAGCAAAGATCTTTCTGCTTTTTGCTTTGATTCAGATAGCTTATTTTGTTTAGCTACCAGAAAGATGAGTTTAAAAGGTCATGTTTTTCAGTTGCTCTTGTCAGAACTGTGTAAATTACGTATTTTAGTTGTACGTTCCAAATCATACACTGCTAGTGCAGCCTGAAAGGCTCTGAAAACACTCCTGCTGTGAGCACACTGTAGTGCTGGAATTCATCCAAAGCAATGCCCCATAAAAGAATGGTAAATATGTCTGTGTGAGAACAGCCTACTTGGCAATGTTCAAAATGCCACTGGGTTAAAACAGAGTAACTGCAGCTTTTCAATAAAGGGAATCTGACAACTATGCAGATAGCTGATATGGACCTGTAACCTTTCCCTTTTAGCATAGTAAGTGACTGTGGCAAGCGTTTGGTTGAATTCTGCAATGTTATTGCATGAAAAGGAATTTAAAGTAAAAGTCACCTTTATTCAGCTGGCTCTAGTATTTGCTTGGTATTTGATAATTAAAATTACCAAAATGACGGTTGCAGTAGGAGGGGCAAGGGAGTGGAGGCACAACTACGTACTATATTGTGTGTAGCTACTCATCTTTCATATACATTTTCTGTACACGCAGGTATTTCTGAATGCTATGCTAATTGGAATCATTATTCCTTTTTATTCAGACTCTCGCTGATGTTGGAGTAATTCCTGGAGGTGATATGACACCAGAGGCAGCCCTAACTAAACTGTCATACACGCTCAGCAAGAGTGAGCTTAGCTGGGAGGAGAAGAGGCAGGTAAATATTTCAGTGTGACCTTGAAAGGCTTTAACTTTCTCATCTACTGTGCCAGCTTCTGCTTAGCTGAATGCCTTGAGCTTCCCTGTTGCATTTAAAAGCAATTGGTTCTAGAGCCATAATGTGAACATCACGTGTTTTTTTCCTTAACAAAAATACTGTTAGGCAAATGAATGTATGTAGATGGGGAGAGAAAAGAATTCTCTGCATAATTCAGGTGAACACCATGACCAAGCCATTAAAATGCCATCTTTAAACAGTAGTAGTCTGCCTTGGACATTTCTGTACTAAAAAACCATATGTGGAAATTCATATGGGAGACAGAATCCCAACCCTACTGAAGTCAGCAAAGATCTTGTCATTGATCTTAGTGTGTTAAAATTTCATCCAAGGCTCATTCACACAGAGCTAATTCTGAAAATAAATATTGCCTACAGCCTCTTCCTTTACAGCATTACTCATGACAGTGTTAGATTTTGTTTCTGTAAGAGGAGATACACTTTATAAATACATAAAAAATAAAGGATTATTCTGAGAACCAGTTGTAACTGATTTTAAAATCATAACCCCTTTAACAATGTTCTTACTGTTCATTGGTGCTTAATCAAGGCTTTTTTCCTCAAACTATATAGTTATATGTCAGGTTCCTCTTATACAAGGAACATGCAGCTCTGCAG